TGGCTGGCGCCTTAGCCGATTGAGCCACAGGCACCGAGCCACCATCCTTTTCCCATTAAAAATGACACATGTTTTATGAGGCAGAGTAATTTTTTTTTTGGAGAAGGAAAGAGAGGTTTATTAATTAGCTGGCAAATGAGGTGGCTGGCAGACTCCTATCTTAAAGTACCAGCAACCCAGGCATAGTAAATTTTAAATATAGATTGCAACTTCACCCGTACCACTCAGTATGGAGAAGAAAACCTATTTGTCTTCTTCATTGGCTGGAGAAAAACTTGTTGAACCTGTAATTAGGTTTCAGATGCCAAAGTTGTCACATGAATCATCACCCCATTTTATTAAGGACACTCTGAAAGTGCTACAGGAACTATAAGGAGCAAACCAACTGCTCTTCACATTAAAAGTGTCCAAATTCTTGACGGGTTCAGAATAAAAAAACAAACAAACATCAATTTTCTTTTTGTACATACCTCACTTATTATCTCTTCCCCATTACAGAAGTTCTTAACCTGATGTCCATGAAGCCCCATAAGGGTCTACACATGAGCTTCAAGGGTTCCAGGACCTCCTTGAAACTGATGTACATAATTGCATTACTCTGGGGAAGTGTTCTTAGCCTTGAACAGCTCTCCAAGGCATGTGTTACCTAAAAATCGTTAACATGACCCACTTCTTTTAAATCCAGAATAAAATCCAAACCCAATGCCAAAACATACATTGTATTTGGGATTCAAGAGACAGAGAATTAATAAGATAATCCAATTTATGAAATCTTCACAATTACCACTTGATGCTAATGCAGAACTAACACTACTTTATGTAACAGGACCAGTCAAGGCTTTTTTTACTTACCATCGTAGCCTCCTAGCACAAGCCAGGGGAACACTGGTCCACCAAAAGTACCCAGACAAGGATCATGGAGCAAACTTGTATCATTCAAAGAGGCAGGAGCCCTGTCAAAAAGTTCAGAGAACACATCCCAGTTAGAACAGCCTCAAAACATCACAGAGACCTAAACATTTACACAAGAAACATTTCATGAGGCCGACTGTATGTGAAGCATAACATGGGCTCTTGAGTTTCTTTAGTTGACTATAGCCCAGCACTCCTCTTTGGGCTCAGAATCACTGGGCAAGAGGCAGACAGAACAGCCCAGTGCAATCAGTAGTGCACGGTGCTACCTGGGCACAGAGGAGGGAGCAAGTAATACAAGGGGGAGATCTGCCAAAAGGATAAGGCCTGTAGAGAACCAGAGCTCCAAGGACAAGGGAGAATTCACCAGGGAGGGAAAAAAAGAAGGTGTTCCAAACAGTTACAATTGTGGGAGGAGAGAGAACAGGGAGAGGGCATGAGAGCAAGATGTTGGTTTGGGGAACAATAACAAGTCCTGCCCTAGAGCCAGTGTGCCCACAAGGGAGGCTCCTGAGACAGGAGGTGGGGCTGGAAAGGGCAAGCAACAGATAATGCAAAAAATAAAAGGGCTCCAGTGCCAAGTTTAGTGTTTGCATATTTATCCTAGAGGCACTGGGAACAAAGGGAAATTTCTGGAAAGGAATGTCGTAACCTGTTTTTGTTTTTTTTTTT